CAGAAACTCTTAAAGGGATGAAAATGACTTTTCCTTTCTACAAGACAAGCAAGTCCTCAGCGTGTTTGCACTTGTGGCCCTTCTGCTTTAGTCCTTACATGGCTTTTTACTGAGAGCTGGCCTAAGATAACCTGCTCCTGCAGTGTTTACAGACACCTTATAAAATGTGCATGCAGGCAGTCTGGTCCTGCCACAGGCTGCAAAGCCTCTGCCTCTCTCTAGCACTGACTGAGATAGAAAGGACTTGCTGATTTAGTGAACCCAAATGCAGGAGTTGCTGTATGAGAAGCCCATTCCTCATCCTACTGAAGACAAATACTGAAAATACTCTATATCTTTAATATTATTACACGTTTTATGTCCCTCTTCCTTCACTGTGTGTATGTAACAAACTGGAATGAGAGTGATGTCTCTGTTCAAGAATGAGTGCAGCCATTTCTGAGCTAGCATGCATCAGCAGTGTTTCAGTGAAATGCTGTGTAGCAGTTTTGGAGCCAAAGAAGTCCATCAAATCTAGATTAGAAATCACCTTGCCAGCACCATGAATTTACAAGGAGCTGTAAGATATGGAGCTGAGGGAAGAGGGAAATTAGGAAAACAAAAGAGGAAACAGAAAAAGATGCAGAGAAATAGAGAATGACAGAAGAGCTGAGGGATTCTTCCTCCTGCCTTTTTTCAGGCATGTCTGAAGTTCAATTGTGGCTATCATGATTTCTTGTCATCACAAATATGTAATTTTCCCCTGGCTTCCGATATTTCAAGCTTTTCATCGGGGACAAGATGAATCATGGTATGTTTGAGAATATATAACACAGAATTCTATAAATACAGTCCATTCAATTGAATTATAATGGTTCATTTTACACCCCAAAGAGGGCACTGCTTATTTTTCAGTCTTCTGATTAATTTGACATTGTTTTTATCTGACTGACAATCCCAAGTAATTTAGGTAAAATGGGAACCCGTATAAACTGCTTGTGTTTTATCCAGGTTCAGAGCATTGCTGTTTTCTGATGACCTCCTGTTGGTCCAACAGTAGAAGTATGGTAAATACCACCACCAAAATATATTCTGTATCAACTGCGGCATGTTTTACTGGTGATGATGACCTTATGTACTCATTAACCTTATCAGAAGGTATTATTGTTCATTATGTTTTACAGAGCATCCCTTAAAGGTGCCATGATACAGAAAGTCTGCAACTTAGACTAAATACTAAGCTGTTTTAATTACTGAAATAGTCAGTTCCAGCACTAATTGTGTAGTCTTTACTTTAGGGATTTAAAACCGTACAATAGCATCCCATAAAGTTGTTGCTAGTGATGCAGTGCTGATTATGATGATGGCTACTAAATTTTTACTGTATAGGTAACATGGAAATTTACTGCTTTATTTGACAAGTGTGTGACTAGTAGGTGCTGATGATTCCTCCTTCCCTCTTTGTAACCATGAGAAAAAGTCTGACAGTTGTAGTAAAATTTCATTCTTTCCCCAAAGACTTATTGAAGGGTGTGTAAAAAAACCAGAATCCATTGTAGTTCTAAGGTTTTTTTTAATCTTATTTAATGTACTCTTTCCTGCAGGATAATGCCTTTCTATTATAACAAAAAGATTGGCTTTCCCATTTACATAACTTCTACAGTTCTTTCCAAAGACTTACCTTGTGGCGCTCGCTGAAAACTGTTTTGGCCGGTTTCATCTGGTTCTAAAGGGACCAAAGCAAAAGATGTCCCACGTATATCGTGCGATTACTCCTGCCGCTATAAAAATACTATGTCATAACTTTGAGTAGCTGTTCTTAAATGCATAGCGTTGAAAAAGGAAAGAAACTAAAGGTCATGAGAAAAAAGACTTAATTTACCAAGCTGTATTTCATTGAAGACATACATTTACTCATTTTTGATAGGGTGGAGCTTAACTGGATGAGATTGTACGAAAAGGATTATTATGTAAAGGGTCCAAGTCTGATACCATTAAGGAAAGCTGGAAGATGGCAATTCTCAGGGATGTTTCAGCATTGTTGTTCTTAAATATTGTATGAGAAGTTTCATACATAAATTGGAAAAGACTGATGGACTTAGCTCTTAGCTAAATAAGCTGTTGAAATACTCAGCACACCTCTTGTGCAGAAGCAGAGCAACCCTGGTGAAAATCAGAGCAGTTCCTGGCTTCTCTAGGTTGTAATGGCTCCTTCACAGCACCTGCAGTGCCCTCTTGCACTGGAAGAAGCTTGCCATAGAAGTGGCTTCCACTGATTTTAGCAGGACTAAGATTTGGGCCAAGTCTACTCTTGATATCTGTGGAGAAAAGATGGGGCTGGGATTTTGTTTGCTTTGCCTTTATGATCTTACCATGAGAAGTAATGGTATTGCATGTATAATTCACCTAACTGGCTGTTTCCTGAGGCTTTTTCCTTCTTCCTTGCTTCAGGAACAAGCAATGGAAATGCTGTATGGAAGCAGTGATCCTCTGCTGATTCCACGTGTCATCTCTTATTGAGTAGCTGAATAACAGCTGGCCACTGGCTTTGTAGAAAATAGAGGGTATATAATTCAGTTTTTCCATTCATGTTCCAGTTCCTTCTTGGGAATTCCCCTTGGGGATAGATTTGTTTGCTCACAAACTGCACTTGAGAAAAAGAGCCAAAGAGACCAACTTGCTGCAAAACAGTCCCTAGGAGGAATGAAAATCTTTACTTGTGAAAGGTCACCAGAGAAGGGGCAGTACGGTCACAGAACTAGGCTGCACCAGGGAAAAAAAGGTCCTTGCCTTCTGTTTTGGGTTTTGTGCTGATGGTCACAAAATCTCTAACTTTGCATTTTTGACTTAATGAAAACTGGGAAATGAGCTTGGCTCATTTTTTCACCAGGCAAATTGTATGTGACCTCAGCACCTTTCTTTTTTCTGTTGTTGCGGAGGCATAGTAGTAGGCAGTTGTGTACTTTTCCCTGATGCAGCTAGTAAGAAAGGACAGATATTTCAAGGTGGGTTATAATCTTCCTTGCCTGACTGCAAATTCTCAGATTACCAAAGTAGCAAAATTGAGCTAAATGTCATGTTATCCCTCCGTTTAATGGAAAATAATTAAGATCATCACCGACTTTATTGAAGGATGTGGGTTTGCTTTCTGAAGTGTAAGAAGCTTCTTTTTTATCTCCAGTAAAAACGGACAGCCCTTCTCTATTATCAAGAATTGCCCACAGTGTGTAATCCCATGAACATAATGACTGTATTTCTCCTTGTTCATCACGTTAGCAAATGATAGAGTCTTGGGCAACTTGCAGCGGAGGTCTTGAGCCATGTGGTAGATGAGCAGGTGTGAAGTCCAGAGATTTGTTTGACTTGGCTGCAGTCACTGACCCTTCAGTTCTCACGATAAACTTCACTGGACAGAGGAGTAAAACCACATAAGAGCAGATGCTCTGCTGCTCCTGTGCTGCTTCAGCAGCGCAAAGAGAGGGGACGCTAGTGAAATCTCCTTAGGTGAAGTGCCCTGGGTATCCGAGCACTGCGGAGGGGCAGGGGCTGGGTGTATGTGATGGCTCTCTCCAGCACACAGGTAGTTATTCAGGCTGTGTTCTGGCCATCAGGTCACCTCCTGGAAATTGTAGCTTGGTGGGGGAGTTCAGCACAGCGACCTGGACTCACATAAAATCAGTCATGTATGGAGTCAGGAAAATGCAATCCTCTCTGGTGACCCCACGGCGTGCCCTGTCTCTGCTAGCAGGAGCAGGTAACTGGACATATGACAACAGTGGCTCAGCGTGTGCTGCTTCTGTTCTCCACTGGCAGCCTTCAGCCAGGAGATTGAAGGGAGAAATTCAGTGTTCAAATGCAAGAGCCCTTGACCACCTTCAGTGCTCTCCATTTGGCTGCCACAGCATCACAGCGAGTGCTTTAGTGGAGGGAATGATTTGGATAGATGGGAAACTGAGCTTTATTTTGAAAAGTCATCTACTGTAATATCTTCCTTCTCTCTGACTGTACCACAGAGGTACTTCATGCTTCTCATGCAGGAAGTAGCTGAGGCTCTCTGATACTATTCTTTTAAACTCAAAACATTAAAGCTAGAATGTGATGATTTTAAAATTTTTCAGGCATCCCTCCCACCAGCATTAATTGCCACCCTGCTGTTCCTGTTGCAAAGCTATTTGCTCTTTCAGTATGCAGTACTTGCTCAGTGCTGCACTAAACCTTTGTTGCTTTGCAGTAAAGAAAAGCTTCAGTTTATGCAAATGACATTGAAATGAGTTTGATAAAATGATAAACAGTCACATTTTATGATTGCAACTGTTGGGTTTTTGTTTGTTATTTTACAATTAATTTTGTGGAAGTAAAAGGCTTTAGAAACTCCCTTCTGGTGTCAATGCAGTAATACAGTGCTCCCATAACAGCATTTTAAGAATTTGGTGGGGCCACAAAGCCAACATGGTAGAGGGATCACATACATCCAACATCACAGTGTATCTTTTCCCTGTGGTAGAGCTCCCTCCCAGCTCAAAATCTCCCTGTACGTAGGAGCTCATATTCTGTTTTAGTCACTATGTCTTAGGTTTCATGCCCTTTTCTTTATTTCCTCTTCCTTTCTGCTTCTGACACTTTATTATTCTTTCCAGTGACTGTACTAGACCTTCAAAATCCTATAGTCCCCAAGAGTAATTACAGATATATTACTGTGCAGCCCCCACAGGTGGGTTGGGTCAAGTGCTTTATTTTTATACAGGTCAGCTACTGAGGCGTGTGGTTGACTTTGCTTCCTCAGTAGCTGCACGACAAGATGGGATTATTTCTGTCACCTGAGTATTTCTGCTGTAGGTGGAGGTCGGTCCTCTCCTGAGTCTGGAGTACCTGGTACCCAAGTAGGGTTGCTAGTGATCATTAATGGATCATGTGAAGCCCCCATGAAAATTAAATGTCAAATGGAAAACCTAGAAAAAGCATGACTACAGCTGCACGAGGTGTAAGTGAACATAGTTTGACTGTATCTTTGTCTGACATAGGGTTTGATGACCTACATGCTTGTGCTGACCCTGGAGCCCCTGAACATGGATACAAGACACCCAGTGCAGGTGTTTTCTTTGAAAGTGTGGTAGTCCGGTTTCATTGCCAAGAAGGATACAGGCTTAATGGTACTTCAAAAAAACTTTGTGTGAGACACTTTAATGGCTCCCTGAGCTGGAAACCAAGCGATAAACCTGTGTGCCTACAAGAAGGTAAGTCAGTTTTCTTGAAATATCTCGCCAGTGTCAGTTCTCACTTGTCCGTGGACCATGTCTGTGTGTCTCAGCACAAAACACAGAAGACTGGAGTCCATTTCATTGTGTCTTATTTGATACATACTTTAGTTTCCCATCTACCCCATCCATAATCCCCATTTGTCAGTTAAATTTATACTGTGAGAGGTCGTCTGTGTGCGCACACATGTGTGTTGAAAGGGACATGAAGAAATCTGAAGGAAAAAGGAAGATAATACATTTCTCCTTTTAACTAGTTACAAACTGATACAGAGAGAAAAAATGATCTCCAGCATAAGTAACCTGTTTGTAACTATTTATTAAAGCTGCCCCCTTAATACTCCTGCAATATTTTACTAGGAAAATGTAATGAATTTCCAGTGCTACTGCTCCTGCTAATCAGGCGTTTAAGCAATTATTTTTTATGACGCGTTCATGATTCAAGTAGGAAAATCAAATACGTATGGGCTGCAGAAGTTTAAAGTCATAGTAGAAGTTTTCTTTGAGATAATTCAGACTATTATGGCATAAACCAATTTATTTTTATCATATTGCATTTTTCAAATTGTATTTGGTTTTAAATAATTAGGACATTAAATTACTTTCTTCTTCCAGGAGTTAGATAGAGGCAGGATTAATTTGAATATTGTAAGTGTAAATTTTGGCCAAAATACATCCAAGCAGAACAAACAATTTACTTCACCGAGTATATAAAGATATAACTTGCTCTTTTTGTTGATTTATTTTTGGTCAACAGAGCTATTAAAATCAACAGACATGAAAAGTGTTAGTTAAATCAGGCATGTATATTTTAGTGGTGTGACTTCTCCGCTGAAGTCAATAGCCATTGCCTCATTGTCTTCAAGGTGGAGCAAGATAAATTCTATTTCAGGAGGCCTTCCATCATTTAAAATCAGATAAATATATGGACTTGTCCAAAAGCAGTTGAAGACTTATGTGGCTCGTAAACACACTTACCACATAGGATCATACATCACTCAGCGTGTATAAAAGCTGCAAGCACTTGTTTCTGCTGATGGGCGGATGGGTAGGAGAATCTTGTGCCAGGACAGGGGTGCATGAAGGGATGTGACACAATAGGAATAAGCGAGGCCTGGGAGGACCACGCTCAGGAGATACACCTGAAAGGAACAACCCTGAGCTGTGGTCTGTGCGAAAGTGGTGCATGAGATATTGCAGAGAGTAGCCAGAGGCAGCTGGTAAGTAGTCCATGGGCTTTCAGGTAGCTTCCCTGTTGGCAGGAGAGGTCTTGGTAAAATGTGGACTTCTGGACATGTGTGAGGCCACAGGCTACAGAGCTGTGATGGTCACAGTCGTGAGCTGTCTTGAGGTCTGCACTGAGACAGTGGATGTGTAGAACATAAAGGCAATGGGGGCCAATAACACCTGGTCATAATGATGACAGGGGGCAGCTTCGAAGAAACAATCTGATGCCTTTAAAAATAATGTATGTATGACATTCTCTCCCCCTCCTGTTACAGCCACCTTTCAGAAATGCCCTTGTCTCTCATCTCAGGGTTATTTAAGAAAAAATACATGTAGAGTGACAGCTGCATATGTCTAAAGTGGGTATTTGAACTACCAAAAAAAGAGGTAATGCTTGAAAAAACTGTTTTCTTAACCATTACAGGTAGCTTCTAGGAATTTTGATGCCCATCTTTGAAATAGTACCTGTATTACCCATTGCAGCTGTTAAAATAAGCATTAATATGTTTTACTGAATATTCAAACTTCTTCCCAGGCCCCACTGTCCAGTGGAAATCTGTGGAGAAAGTTTCTGATCACAGTGCCAGCAACAGCAAAAGTGCCACTGATGTCAGTGTGATCAACACTCAAGCCAGGTGTTTTCAAATAAGGAGGAAACTGGAAGATGAGTATGTGATGGATGATGTGACAACAGTTGCTTAAGAGATAATAATTACTTTACAGCACAGAGCACTTAAAAAGGATTGCTAGCCAATGCTCAGATCAAGCAAAGCACTTAAGCCTGAGCATAACTGTAATTATGTGATTAGTCCCGTTAAAGTTCTGTGCTCAAAATTAGGCATATGCAAAAATGCTTTTTATTATTTGGACTGAAGAGTAGGACCCCAATTTAGGATTTAGTGAAGGAAGTGCTTTCTTGATTAATGGTGTAATAATACCTCAGGTATTATTAAAACAGTTCTAGGGTTTAGCAATAGGAAAAAAAATAAGATGACAATGAATTCTTTCCAATGCACAATACAACCACTGATTCAGAAGGAATTCTATGTAAAGGTTCAGTGGCAATCCATGAGACCTAAGAATTTGATGAAGTGGTTTTTGGAGTGATGTTTTTGTGTACCGGGAGTAGAATCATGAGAGACAAGTGCAACAGGGAGGTGGGCAGTGTAGGAACATGGCACATCTGGAGAGCAGTTAAGGAGGAATTATAACAGGGTTTGTAATTCGCAGCTGTCTAATGACATACGTAAAAGCCTTCACTGCAGAAATTCTGTAATGATGTATAAAAATAAATTTTAAATTTGTAGCAACTACTGGAGAAGTAAGAAGCTAATGTTTTACCATTCATCGTTAGCTATCACAAGGCAAAATGAACTTTATACTGCATTTACCCATTTAAGGCAGGGGCTGATTGCCGTGTTTGCTATTTTATGCTATACATGCCTCTCATCCCAGTATACGTAAATGTCAGATATTGCCAGCTGAGCTTGAACAGTAAAAACACTCAGTACTGCAGTTCATTTTAAGTTAATCTCAGAAGTTTGGATTCCACTAATGGTGGTTACATATAATTTTATGTCTGTATGTTATGTATATTTAATTGTCTTTATGTGTTTACTAGAACAATCTCTAATCACAAATGAATGTTATTTACTAAGGGAAGCAAAGCAACCCATTTCAGAATGTAATTGATTTTAAAACTAATACATTCGCCTGGAGCTCTTCATCCAATCAATTTGATTTTATAGGCCTGTCATTTCTCATTAAGAGGCAGGAGATTTTAAGTGTCAGTATGAGAACGAAGTTGCATGACTAGGTGCCCAGTAAATGCCCTGTCAAAAATCTGTGCGCTTTGAGTTATGTTCTCATGTTGATCTACAGCATGTTGTGTCTGTAACTTCCATCAATTCTAATACAGTTATGCACATAAATACCAAAGCTCTAAGGCAGGAATTTTGTATTTACTGTTTAAGAGCAATATGTCATGTTGTTCACACTTTAATCTAATCTTCTCTCACTGTGATAATGTCGCTGCTGAGACTGTTGCCCTACTTGGAACAAATGCTACCTCTTTCCTACAAGATTGAATCTAAATTTACAGTCTATATGGAGATGGCAACCAAGCGAAGAGCTGTGCCCTTCGCTCGCAGTGCTTCTGAAGGCAGACGCTTTCGAGATGTCCTTGGTGCCTCGTGCTCCCACTGACAGGGATTACAAACTTGCAATGAAAGCAGTGGACTAATACATAGTTTGGCTAACGTTTTCCTGTATGACATTCAGTACTTGTTTCTCTTTGCCTTTGTCCTTGGATCTGTGAGATGACTGAAATATTTTTATTTCTCCATCTCTTATCTCTCTTGCCCAGTGTCTGTCGATCCTTAAGCCTGGTTCCAAGCACTATATGATGTTTGTAACCTATGTTTAGCACAATGACCACAGATCTTAGGCGAAGTCTCTGTGCACTGTTGTAATATAAGCAAAGACAATAAAGAGAAGGTGTTACTTAATATGCACTGAAATACTGTGTTTGCCATCCACAGAACTGTCCTAACTCAGTACTATGGATTTAACACTAGAAAAAAATACAAGACAATATCGATCTTAAATGTTTACTTTTAAGAGCACAGGGTCCAGATGACCTGTCGCTGCATTCAACCCATTCTTCATAATGTTGTTTTCATCCTTCCTCCCCGTTCCTCTCCGTTCCAGCCTCTCAGTGTTGTGGCTAGATGTAGTCAAGGCTAATTCAGAGACTGCTCCACAGTGAGATACGTAGGAGCACTGGACCTCTGCGTCTGAGTTTACTTACAGACTAGTAAACAAAACAGTGCCAGAGCATGGGCCAGGGCACTGTTCTTCGATTGCACATACGGTTACAGTGTTAGAAAGGTCCCTGACATGGTTTTGGCCAATGTCAAGTAGTAGTCCCCAAGCAATTCCTACAAACATCTTCTGGATTAGCATGGACCAGGGATGATTTTTGGAGGATAAGAGTTCACCTGCAATAGACACAAGCCATGCCAAGCCAGCTGGTACCCATGGATGGTATGGCTGTCTCCATAGTGTCCAGGTCATGCCTTCCTTCTGAGATGCCTTTATGGTCCAGGTGCTCTTGCGAGGAGGGAGGGTGGTCCTCCTTCCCCATGGGCTGGAAGAAACAGTTCTGAGAGACAATGCACGGTTTACACATAAACTAAAGCACTATAACTATAGTGTTTAACAAATTTTACTCTTCAGACCAATCTTTCTGTGATGGGGGACACACTTGGTTTGCTGCAGCCAAGAACTGCTAATATGCAAAGCAGTATCTTCATGAAAGTTAGGTCAAGATGAACCACTGCACAAGGCAGGCTGCCAGGCCTGCTGGCTGCACCCCACCTCTTTGTGCCTCTGCAAGTTAAGAAACGTGTTCCGAACTAGGGAGTTCATTTGGCTGGCCTGGTTTAATACTCATGCAGTAGATACAAGCAGATCATTTAAAACTGCCACAAAGGAGTGTAAGCCGTAGCCATTGCTGTTGGATACTGGTTAAAGACCATGTATTTCCTTAAATGGTTTAGTAGCTTCCACTGATTTGCTGAAAAGTGCTTAGAATAAAGCAGTTTGTTTTCTAGGACAGGAGATTTTAAAATCCAGTCACTTATTCTCAGCTTTTCCAAGCAGAATTTGTGCCAGCTAATCCATTTTTTTTGCAAAGAGGTGGCTACTGCAATTTATGCCTGGCTAAGTGCTAAACAATACAAATTCAGCCAGCAGGAAAGCATTTGCTCGCAAGGCATCAGGAAAAAGAGCTGTAACACTGTGGTCCATTGGTCTCCCGTTCAGCCAGGGCTCGTAATGGGCCTGTTATCAACGTCAGCCAGGAAGCTGCAGGTGAAGGATGGTACAGCGAGCAGCTTGTCACTGTTCTCTGCCAGCATCTAGCCGATTAAAATGATTCAATCTATAGCTGTTACTTGGAATAATGGGGATGAAGTCGCTGCAATAGATCATTGTTACAGAATCAATTTCCCCCACTTTGAAAGTGAAATCTCATATTGTACTGCAGTGTATGTATACACACCTCTTTTATTTGTATAGCAACAGAAAGCTGTTATGTCAAGAGAGTGAGCTGTTCATTGACGTTATCTTCTGGCATCCATCTCCAACCTGCTGCTTTGTGGCTGCGGAGCGGGATCCCCATCTATCTTATCCCATCCTCGGGGATGCCCAGGGCAGCCTCTTCGTGACAGTGTTCAGGGCTTAGCATCACACATTTCTTATGGGGCATCCTCTGCTGTCTCCTCTGCTCATTAGCTTGCCAGAGAGAGAGAGAGAGAGAAAATTGTCCAGTCTTTGAAAGCGATGTCTGCAACCTCAGTCCAGTGCATTTTTATAACCTTCTGTTAGGGTATGCATCCTTCCAGACATGGGCATTTATAAATGAATAAATTGTAACAAAACATCTTGCTGCAGGTTCTCAGACCGCCTGGCAGACTGCCAGCCCTTCCCATTACAGGCAGCCGCAAGTACCTGCAGCAGCAGCCAAGGTACTAAAAGTAACAAGGGAAATGGGGACATCTTTTGCCTAATAATATGTCCATGCCCTGTACTAGAAGTTAGCTAAGTAGTTTGTATTTTATAAAACATCCCTACAATGGGAAGGTACAAAGGAAAATACATTTTAACTGGGGAAGCAACACTCTTCCACTTCATATTGTTAAAATTTAGCGATGGAGTCTCAGAATAATAGATCCCCTAGTTTGCCTAAATAAATTTATACATTACGAAATACATTTGTTCATAATAGTTTGCTATGCTAAGTGACAGTTTATCTTGCTTCTAGTTGCTCTTCTAAGGAAACAAGCAAGCTGTTGCTATCACTTTACTTTGTGCATGCTCACAATTAATTGTTAAATACAAATTTCGAGTTGCCTCTTCCTCTATAGTGAGAATTACCCATGAAAATGTCAGAAACTTTCTGTTTTATGCAAGTCTCGAGGGACTTCTGAAAATTCTTTTTGTTTTAATAAATATTGTATTCCTAAATTATTATAATTGTGTCTTGTGGTAGATGCGTTGGAAAAGATCAGCATAAAACAGGCATATAATATTTTTACTGTCTTGCTTTTATTTGAGATATTTTGTGGGTTTTGATGCCTGGAAACTTTTATCACCATCTCTGTCATGGATTGTCTGCTGGCATACAAACAGATAATTGTGATTATATTTTCCCAATATTTAATCTTTTTCTCTGTTCTGTTAAATCTCACTTTGCATTTTTGAGGAGGATGAGCTTTGAGTCACCTGGACTATTCCTTCATATCCTCTTGGCTTGTCTCTTAATTATTCGGTATCAGCAGAAGGTTTTTTAACCTGCCTCACCCTTTCCTTCTGCTTTTCACGACATCCTTCATATTTTAGTCTTCTGGGTTTTATTTTATATTTTGATGTCTTTGGCACTGGTGTATACAATGAGATAGAAGACTGTTCAATACACATAGCACAGACAGGTAACAGAGCCCATGCCTGTACCTCACTAGAGGTTTGCAGTCACTTCCCTTGTTGAGAGTCTTCTGCAAGCACTTGAGACACTGCTCAGGGCCTTAAAAATCACGCTGTCCAAAGGCACACGAATTCAGGCACATAAAATTATCTGATTTAAAACAGAATCAATGAGATGAAAGTGAAGACATTCTCATAACTAACTCTGTGGAATGGAGCGGGATAAACCCTTGTAAATGTACCTGATTTTCGTCTGTCTCTCTGCTAAAACTGCAGTTTTTCTGTGTTCCTCATGCCATATCTGTATTTTACCTTTTCTTTTGTCCTGTCCTTGGTGCTGTCAAAGAGTCTGCCTTCGCATGGGACTTTGGGGTAGTCAGACTGTGCAGTGTAATTGGCACACATGATGAATGGAAGGACAAAATTAAAAACAGTCTTCCTAAATGCTCTTAATTTTGTTTGTTTAAAAATTCTGGGGGAATGATCCAGTATTATAGCATGTCATCTTCTGCTACAGTACTATACACTTTGTAACCAATGGTGAACTAGGGAAGGGGCATATTTACTGAAATGCATGTATTTTCCAAATGGTTTAAGCAGAGCACGTACATTAACTGATGACTTTTGCATAAGAGCTTGATTATTGAATAGGTAGCCATGTTTTTTTAATTAAGTTACTATTTTTTTTTTCATGAAGTCACAGATTGCCTTGTTCCACTTGTTGAAGATGCAGAGATTCATAACAAGACATACAGGACTGGCGATAAGTTAATAATCAGCTGTCATGAAGGATTCCAGATCCGTTACCCTGACTTAGACAACATGGTTTCAATATGTCAAGACGATGGAACATGGGATAATCTGCCCATTTGTCAAGGTTTAGTACACCAGCACATCCTGTTTTATAGCTCATGCACCTTGTGATAGTTTGCTGATATTTTTTTGTACAGTTGTAGCGATGTCAGTGATCTGATAAACTCCACTGTACAGTATTTGAATAGTAGTGCTAAGTTTTTTTTTTATTTCTTCTGCCTGTTGCTCACTGCAGGAAAGAATGTGCCACTTTCTAAACATACCCACTCTTAAAATACTACTTTAAATATTAATTTTTGTTTGCTAGTCTAAAATCTGACACAGATACATGGCATTTAAAAAACACTCAGGGTTAAATCAGCCAGAAGTTTATCAAAAGATCTGATGGGCAACTGGCATTTTTGCACCAATCAATTTTTTGAAAGATTTAAGCTTCTAACTGCAAATCACCTTTCTTTACCTTGTGCAGCAGGCAGGGGTAGAGAAGCTGGAACTGTTCTTCTGTCAGAGTTTTCAGCAGTCATTGATCATGTTCACAGTCCAAAAAACCCGTAGGTATTGACTGAAAATTCAGGGTGTGTACAGGAAAAATTTTGGCCAGAAAAGCCATTAGCCATAGCACTAGGAGTATTGGTAGCACGGGACTCTAGCTTTGCTTAGGCTGCAAGAACTGGCTGGGGGAAAGCCAGCTTTAGTGAGTGGAAATTCAATAACCCTGGGCTACTGTTCCGTTTACGTTTCTAACACTCATATGTTAGTGCCATTGACTTGGTTTTAAGCAGTTCACGTCTTGGTAACAAGCTGGCCCAGTTGAATGGCATCAAGAGATTTTTAGTGTCTGTGCTAAGGAGACGACTGCATTAGTATTAGACTTCCTCAAACCCTTCTGTCATCTCCTAAAGGTGACAGTTCTCTGTAGGCACTTACACTGTCACATCAATTTGCAGAGCCGGGGCAGGCAGGCTGGGGAGCTGGGACACTGCTGGGGAGTGACAGTGGCAGGGTGAGACACAGAAGTCAGGGCTTGGTATTTCTGCTGTAAAGAGATGAGACTGATGGGCACCGGAGTCCGAAGTTACAGGAGCTTAGTTTGTATGGGTCTCCACGGCTAGGACCCTCAGTTTGGGGCACATCAGACTGTGTCTCAGGGTCTTGTCATAGACTGTGCTACAGGAATGTAGAAAGCTAGGCCGAGCTCAGTGTATCTGAAGAGGGACAACAGAAAAGCAGAGTGTTCACAAACCCATAAAAATGTGGGCACTAGTTTTATGGTATCTTAACAGCAATGGCATGGTGTGTGGCAGTATGAAGTATACAGCCCATTTTTGGGAGTGGGTGCACTTCAATCTTATTAAGGTAGATTAAGAATCTTGCAGCTGAGTGAGATGAATGCTCAAAAGATTAATTTGCAGGTACCGTATTTGCCAAAGATCCAGGTGGAAATTTTGTGAAAGCCAGTATTAAGTGGGTAAGCAAAAGTACCCCTTGGCTTGTTGCTGTCTTCTGTTGCTGTATTCGTACTGTGAAAAATAATCAATTGCTGCTACTCAATATTCGCTATTAACTGCTTTTAAAAATAAAAGCAGTGCTAATGAAAGTTGTGAAATCAATTGCACAAGAGCAAAGTGCTGTAGCTACCAGAGAAATAGAGAACAGGCAATTCAGATCCAAGCATCTGCCATATTTTCCCAAATTCTATACACCTGTTCCAAAATTGACTCCGGGATTTTCTTTTGCTATGTCAAGCACTAATAATATCAAAAGCAGTGGTCTGCTTGTGCTAGGTAGGCTGTCAATTACATTTCTAGGGCTCTTTGATTACAACGGGCAGGGGAGTCTCACGACGCTAAAATGCCTTTTTTCTGGCAGAGCAGTGGGAAAGAATTGTAGAGCATATAAGAATCCAACCTCAAACTATTTTTGCCACGAGAAAATCATGATAATTACTGATGTGGAATGATGTGAATTACCTAGCAAAAAAAAAAAGGTCAAAATGCAATTTTCAAGAAGCTCAGGGTGTTTGGAGATCTAGGCATTTTCACAAACACTTGGCTTTCATACAAATTCAAGTACATCTCTGCCCTGCATTACAAGGAACCCAATGAGCATTAAAACTCTGAGCCAGCAGGACAAAATCTGCCCTAATACAGTTCAGAGGAGAGTAAGCTTGGTCTTGTGCAGGCAGCCTGCACTCTTTCTCTCTGTCCCACTGGAGGCTGTTTGTGTCGTGCTGCTCAGTGGGCTGCTCGGTTTGCAGGAACCGGTTTGTTGTGTGTGGGGCGTCCTTGATCAGGGGTACGAGCAGTAGCCAGTAGATAGGATGCTTGAAGCTTTATCTGAGCAGAGAGATGACCAGCAAGTAACACAGCTATCAAAACCATCATTCTGGTATTACAGCATGCTGTAAAAAGCTTTCAAGCTTTTTCTGTTGTTTTCTTTTGCTCTTGTCCCTCTCCCTCAAAAGACCATTGCAAGGAAATCACCACCTGAAGTGCTGCTGAGGCTTTTTCTTCTAGATGCTAGCATCTTACAAGAAGTTCTCAGACTGATTTTAGTTTCCCCCTTAGGCTGAAAATTATGAGAGTCCTATGAACATCTTTCACAAATTCCTAGTAGTGGCAAGAGACCTATTTATGGATTGCCATAATGCAGCTCCTATAACTTTATAATATTATTTTTCATTCCCTGGTTACTAATCATCTTTCCTCCATATTATTGCAAATTAAAAAATCAACAGTATTAAGTATTACCTAGAGGGTCATTTCTAAGACCATGAGGAATTTTTTTTTCTCTAATAACAACTTGTATCTAAATACCAGCTCAAAACAGACTCTGAATCATTGTGAATGACATGTTATAAAGTCATGTCACCTATTAAATTCACTGCTCTTTCTTGCACCAAATATGGTTGGTGACCATTTAACTGCCACGGTTCAGTACCCTCCATGGTACAAATCCCTCAGAAGTAATTCCAGAAGTAGAACGTAGTCTCTGACTACATCTACAATTTCTGGTGATAACAGGTACCTTAACTTTTTGATAACCTAATTTGAGACCTCGTTCAGTGTTTATCGTGGGACTGCTCATAGGAAGTCACGTCCCTTCAGACCTTCTCAAATTGGAATTTCAAAATCATTAATTCTGTCTGCAAATCTTTCACAGTTGTGTGCACTTTGTCACAGGAGCTGTTCTAGTATTAAAGATGGTTTACATGCCTGTCAGTGTTAAGAGGAGGAATAAAGCTCATGGTTTATATAAATGACAATCTTTGTGTATTAAAAGATTCTACCTCAAAAAGAAATTGCCATCTGCTAAACCAGTGCATGTTTGTGAAACAAAATACTGTCATTTTCAGTAAACCTTTCCTGGATTTGCTGAAAATGAATCCCACGCTAGCAAAGCGTGTGGGCTAAACAACGAAAGGGTCTGAAACAGGATAATGAGACATACGTATCTGCGGGAGATCACGCAGGCATGCCATTCATAGCAGAGAAGATGAAAAATAGTGCACGCTTCAGTTTAGGAATTATAACCAAGGTGTGTGAAGATGACTGAGATAAGCATCTTGTAATAAAAGATACCTCCCTCTTCTTAATTTGCAGGTTGCCTGAGGCCATTGGTTCTTCCTCATAGTTACACTAATATATCTGAGTTCGAGTCCTCCTCCCCCATAGGAACAGTGGTGTATTATCAATGCTTTCCTGGATATAAACTAGAAGGGGCAGAGTTGCTTGAGTGCATGTATAACCTTATCTGGTCAGATAGCCCACCTAGGTGCCTTGATGTGGAAGGTAAATGTCTTCTTGTTCGTTTGTCTTTCAATTTCGCAAAAGCAGCATGCTCTATAGGATTGCAGCTCAGGGCTGTAAGCACGGTTACGCTATTGTGTAATGTTTCCGCAGGCCACGCAGCGTGGATCTGGGTTTTGTTGCAGGCAACCTGTTGTGGTTCACTGCACAGCTAGCTCTTGGTGTTCCCTAATTAATGTTTGCTCCCTCAGTGTCCAAAGTGGGGGAGGGGAAGCTCGTAGCAATGATTGCTTTGCCCTTGAAATGTAAACTCTTTGCAGCTTTTCTAGTAAAAATAGTGAGGAAGTTATGGAATTCACATTGATGTGCATATGGTCAGAGTTTCTATAGCTACGGATAGATTTCCATGCTAAACAAAAAATACTCCATAGAAACCCTTAGTTTGGGCTGTGCCAGCTGCAGACATCATTCTGTGCTACACGATGCTACTAGCTTGAATATGTGTTGTCTCTCATAGTAGTTAACCTTAAAGAAGGATTTGCAACTAAAATTACTGAGCTAATTTACTGATTAGGAACAAAAATAAAACAGTCAGTGTGAAACGGAGGTAAATCATACCGATCCAAAAGGAATAATTTGTGACTACAGCTGCAGTGCTGGAATGGAGGATACTGTAATGCATTTATATTTGCAACCCACACATTTAAAACAAACATACCAAATGGATTGCTCCACACTCTGTCAAAACCTTGTGAACTACCTTCCTCCATCTTCATACCACATCTTGAATGAAACATCCTAGGAAGCCATCAGAATCCAAATACATCCTCTACATTTCATTCCCCTAAAAGGACTACATTTTTGCTCTATTTCAAGCCTGTAAGGAAGTTATCTATATGTAGAATTTAGCTAAAAGCAATTACAGGAGTTCATATGTGATGCTGATGTCACTGAGCTAAATGCTGAGCATTCTGAAAGTGCAAAACTTTGCCAACAGCATCAACAAAGAGATACACTGCACAAAAATAATAAAATTATCCTTATTTTTAACTGCCAATTCAAGTTCCAAAATTCAAAAATGCCTTTGCAATTTTGGAATGACACAACAAGATGATATTTTTTTTAAATTTAGCACACCATAAAAGATTTATCCCAAATCAGTTCTATGTAAGCCATATTTGGAAGATTTGTTTGAAGATGTTTATAGCATGGAAAAAAACATTAAAAAATCATAAGGGCCCTGTTAGGCTTAATCCAAACAGTATAACTAGTTAGGAAGATAAGAACATTAAAATACAGAAACTCAAGTGTATGAAGCAGAAAAAGTTGTGTCTTACCCTCACTTAACACAGGCGAGCATTGCAGCTTCTATCAAAATACCCAAGAAAACTCATGTGCTCATTGTTTATTGCTTGTATTATAAAGCCATGGAGAGGCTCTTTTTTCTTCATAATTTAAAACATGAGGAAACAACTGTTGCCCTGAGAGTTCTACATTTTAAATAGTATGTCAAAAGTTACCATCCTCTGTCAACTACGATGATCTGTGATGCAGGGATCAGTGTGTGCCAGGCGCTGGGTCAAGACCATCTGGGAGGCCTCCTGAGTTTTCCTTTAGAACCAGTCTCCCTTTTAATCGCTTTCTTATTGCTCTCTTTAAATGTTAAAACTTGCCATGGTGATTTCACGTTGGCGTCCCATCTGTGCATGTGTTGAGTGAACCACAGGAGACCGAAGTCTAGAGCGTAACACTTGCAAGAGTTGCTCTTCAGCTTTGGGGCTCTCTGTGCTTCTGTTGGGGAGGAAGAGAGAGGAGCAGCACTAAAAGGTCACCCTAACAACTCCCCTTGTGAACTCTGTTGTAGGGATGCTTCAGTTGGTATGCAGCAAACTTCAAAATTAGATCCAGACAGGGTAAATCAACCTGAGATGCCCTCGTTTGAAAGTGATTTATGCAAGGAGTTCCAGACTCCAGGAATCTTGTGACAATCCACTACTCTTAATTCGTGGACAAAACTCCCTCCCTGCATATTTTTTATTCCACACCTTGCATACCAATGTCAAGCTCATTTTTCAGCATTCCTTTTATGGATGAGGTATAATCTTGCCAAGCAGTATTTTTCACAAAGGAAATCTGCAAATAACAAATTAATTCCATTTATTTATTTCCACAGTCAATTCAAAATTTATTTTAATAACTTTTCCTGCTCAATATTTTAATATGGTAGTGATTAAAAGCAAACGTTTTTTAGGAAACTGTAGTAAACCATTTTAGAGCTTTTACTCTGCTGTAAGAAATCCTGATTACAGCTTTCTCATTTTGATATATGTTCTTCTTGAAGCCTTCACAGAAAGAATTTCTTAGATGTGTGTGTAATCACACAAAGGCTGTATGTCAATCTCATTAATTTTTCCCTCTTTGTTAGGCCAAGTAAATTCTGAATGAAGGGTTTCTAGCTCCATTTAAAGAAACAGTTAACACCAGGGACCACTCAGCTCCCATCCTACAGCGTGCTTTCTAATGCTCAGTCCAGTCTTATTCTCAGTCTTGGCAAGCACAGAGCTTCTACTAACTCTGGCAAGAGACTAATTTTTGCTGATAGGGAAGAAGATTTTTCTGATCATTAAAATCACTGTTGTTTTAGTCACAGCAGTGCATAAAAATTGTGGTACCTGGTACTGAAGTGCAGCCAACACTGCAGAGTTTATGCAGCGGCTTCTCAGAAACAGCTGTTGGCATCTGATCAGGGAAGTTGTTACAGCTCAGGCAAATAAGGATGCCTCTAGCTCAGATTGCCAGGTATTTACTGGTGAGAGATCCTCTTCTTAAATGCTTGTACTTTTGCCAAATTTTAAACATTTGGATTGATTTTTTGAGTGTCTGCCTCAAGCTGAATCGTTTGGGAAGCTTCAGCTGAAATGGTTCAGCTCTATCTGAGAATGACAATAGAGGAAATGGTGGTGTTTTACCAGTGCTAGAAAATTTTACAGTCATTTAGAGGATAAGATGAAGCATCTTAACGCTGAATTTTCTTCTCCTTTAAGTCCTCAATTTACATCTTTAACTTTCTGAATATCCTTTTTTTCTAGCGGAATTCTATAATTATGCAGAACATTTTCAAACTTTCTTTTGTACTGAAACTCGCTATACACTTCCAAGGATATATGAAAATCTAAGGAAAATGTTAACTTTTTTCATTTATATGATTTTTCAATTACCAATTTGGGGTTAATCGTCCATCTGTAGAAATTGGTATAAGTTAGCGACTGCCTTCTGTAAAATTAGATAGGCAAAAGTTGGGTGGAAAAACGCTTAAATTGAAGATTCCCACATGGCATATAAACATTAACTGTAAAATCAGATGGCTTCCAAAAACATTGGAGGAGAGCAAACACTTGAAAACATACCAGTATGGAACTCTATGAAATGAAATGTATAGAACTAGGAAGTGTTTATGCTAGGATACTTAAGGTGAACAAAGACATTACACAGAATTTGGAGAAATTAAAAAAAAAAAAAGCCTAGCCATTAGTACTTCGGGAATGTGATCTGCATATGATTACACACGTTGCCATCTGGACTCTACATTTTAGTCTTTCATGCCCTTTGGAAGACTTCCAAGAAAATGTAAGGAATAGTTCTTACAAAGAAGTGGGGGCAGGGAGCAGGCAAAGAGAGGAAAGGCTGGAAGACTTTTATTCTAGTGGTAATGCTAGAATATAAAGCAGTTGTGTGCATAGTGTAATTGGGAATTCCCAGCTTTGTATTGAAGAGTAAAAGGGAACACAGGTTGACTGAATTTGCAAACAACAGATATGATCCTATTATGTGGAATGTCTGGTTTCAGCATCATCCCAGCTGAACAGAAAAGCGGGTCCTGCAGGAAATCAGATATCCTGCAATATCAAAGCTTCATTCTGCATGATAGGATCAACAGATTCTCTAGCTGAGGTTAAGCTTGAAAGAATGTAAAATAGAATTTTCAAAATTTTGTAGGTAGATCGAAAATTAAAAGGAAACAAACATGAGGAATAGACTTCAAAGAGGAGATTTAATGAGCAGACGAGAGGAAAAACATAGAACAAAACTGAAGGCATTTCAGAACTCTGGTATATAAAACCACCTCATTGTGAGGAGAGGTGAAAAGATACAATGCTAAGCAACCATCAGTTACAGAAAGGTTCTTGAACATTATGGAAACTATGAAAGAAAGATAGGAGAAGGAAGGAGTTAAGAAAATTGCACAACAAAGACAGAAGATGTGTAAGGGAACCCAAAAAATCCTACCTGGAGCACCAGGATATTTCTGAAGAACAAAAGGGGGTTGGTCATATGAAAATTAAAACCAGAAAAGTATTCTACAAATAAAAAAATATTCTGGAAAGACAGGCAAGAATACAGGACGCAGCTTTAAAATTTTTCTTCTAATAATGTGAGGACAGACAGTCACAGAGAGGGTCTGATTATTCTGTTGTGGAAACTAGAAAGTAAAGAGCGTGAAAGAGCACTGAGGGAGGGTGATATTACAGGTGAAATGCCATAGCTGCTTAATATTTCAAAACAAAGTGGCTTAAACTTTCTAAGCAATTACACACAGGATACTTTGAGGGAAAGCTTAAAAAAAAAATCTTTATTCTTAAATAAGAATTTCTAATGCCATAAACAGTGATTGACACCAACCTATACATTGATAAACTATGTGCTTAAAATATTTTAAATTCTTGATGGAACATATAGCAATACACTGAGAAAAAAGATACAAGTCAGCCTTTAATCAGTTTATGTTGAGGAGCCAGAATAAAGTAAGCAATCCTAAGCCTGAGATATTGTACATTGGTGCGAATGGATTTCTCTCTGTGTTCCTTTGTTGACACTGAGAAGGCTTTAGATAAATTCCAGCATGACAGACTGATGCGTATCCTCAGGGAAGATAATGACGCAGCAGATCTCCAACAGAAGAAAATCCTGTAGCAGGAGCAGAGGGCAGCAATGCAAGCAAGTTGTGAAGCACTGTGCTATTAAGAAATTAAGAGAGGTAGATA